TCTACAGAAGGTGCTTTTGGTTTTGCCCTCAAGATGCATCATCTTGGGAACCAGCAGTTGGCGTAATGGCTATGTCGCTGGACTCCCACGTAGTCGACCGCGGTTCGCGTCCCGGACCCGGTGGCTTAAAACTCACGCCGGGCGCGTGTGCGTGCGTGCCCAAGGTCCCGAGAGGAGAATGGAGGAGAAGGGATTGCGGCGTGACCATCCCCCCTGGGGGGTGATTTCTCGCTTTCTGTCTCTATGTCTCTCTCTGTCTGTCTGGTGAGCGCACGCGCCCTATAGCGAAAAAACCTCTCCAAAAAAAAAAGATGCATCATCTTTTTTGGAGAACTCGGCATCCTGCCAGCTGTCTGAGACCCGCAGTCACAGCATTCTCTGTTGGCATTAACCTGTGTCTTCTGAGCATTTATTACATCTGCACAGCACACCTGCTGCTCTCATCACCTTTGCCCTCTGGCTGCTGGAGTGTGCAGCCCAGAAATACTGGGGAGTTAATGCCTCCAAGAGCAGCCCTCAAATCTAGGCATGCTCTCTATAGTCTTACTAAAGGTCCTAGCACTTTGGAACCCCACTTTCCTATAGGAGTAACATGTTCATGAGCCTTTGACAATTTTTAAAAATTATTTTAAATTTAATTAATTAATTTTAATTTGACCAGAGAGGGACAAAGCAAGAACAAGAGAGCGAGAGAGCAAGAAAGAGAGGGAGAAATAATTCTTTTAAGAGAGATTTTTGCTGTAGGCTACATGCACTTGCTGGAGAGAGACAGAAAGCAAGAAATCACCCCCTGGGGGGGATGGCCATACTGCAATCCCTTCTCCTCCATTCTTTAGGGACTTCAGGCATGCATGCACATGTACTTAGCATGAGTTTTAAGCTGTCGGGTCTAGCACTCGAACTACGGTCAACGACGTGGGAGTCCAGAAATGTAACCATTAGGCCATCTGCTGGTTCCTCTCTTTCTTTTTTTTCTTTTTTTTTTTTTTACAAAATTTGTTTAATCTAGGGAAGAAAATTAGATGATTTTCCTCCTTAGCTTGCTAACATAACAAGTTATATTTATGGATTCTTTATGAACCACCTTTGCTGCGCTGGAATGATGATTGATTTAAATTTGCCAGAGGATGTTTACACTTGCTGGAGAGACAGTGAGAGAGAGAGGGAAAGTGAGAAAGCACTTCTAATGGGGAAAAGTCAAGCCATAATCCCTTCTCCTCCATTTCTCCCTCCTTTCAGGATTATGGGCATGCATGCATATGTACCTAGCATGTTTCTTAAACTGCTAAGTCTGGGACTTGAACCAGGTGATCAGCTATGTGGAATCCAACTGCCTTAACCACCACACCATGGGCTGGCCCAATTATGTTATTTTATTTTAATTATTATTTTATCTAACTGTATTTATTTATTTTAATTTGACCAGAGAGGAACAAAGGGGCGGGGGGCAGGAAATGAGAACTCAAGCCACTAGATCTGGCCAAACCATAGTTGCCCATGTGGGAGTCCAGCACCCTTAACCATCACAGCACCTGCCGGCCCCACAATTCTGTTATTTTTAAACGTGCTATTGAATTCTATTTATTTATATTAAAAAAAATTTAAAACAGTATAATAAATCTGTAGCTTTAAAAATTTTTATTTAATTTTATTTATCATTATTATTTATTTATTTATTTTCTAAGAGAGGTTTATGCTGTAGGGCACATACACTTGCCAAAAAGACTGAAAGGGACAGAGAGACAGAAAGCAAGAAAACACCCCCCCCCCAAAAAAAGAGGGGAATGTCACACCGCAATCCCTTCTCCTCCATTCTCCTCTTGGGAACGCACTTATATGTGCCCAGTGTGTTTAAGCCTCTGGGTCTGGGACTTGAACCACGGTCGACTACGTGGGAGTTCAGCAATGTAACCAGTACATCATCTGCTGATCCCTACCATTATTATTGTTTAAAATTGATTAGTGAGAGACAGAGAAAGTGAAAGAGAGAAGGAAAGTGAGAAAGTAAGCCACTAGGTCTGACACTTGAACCGAGGTTGGCCATATGAGAGTCCAACACCTTAAATACCATACTACCTGCTGGCCCCATCTGTAGTTTTTGTTTGTTTGTTTGTTTGTTTGTTTTTTAAATACAAACTTTATAAGGTTTATTAGAATATCAATGTCCTCCTCACTTCATAAGAAGAATTAGGGGTAGTATTTTTCTTTTTTATGCTCTGGAGCAGTTTACAAAACATAGAGGGAACTAGCAGATGGCATAATGGTTACATCACTGGACTCCCATGTGGTTGACTACAGTTCGAGTCCTGGACTTGGTGGCTTAAACACGCTGGGTGCATGTGTGTGCATGCCCAAAATCCTGATAAGAGAATGGAGGAGAAGCAATTACAGTGTGGCTATCCCCCCTCGGAGGAGGTGATTTCTTGCTTTCTGTCTCTTTGTCTCCCTGGCAAGTGCATGTGCCCTATAGCAAGAAAAAAAGAAACTCTTAAAAAAAAAAATAAAAAAGAAAAGAAACATTGGATTTATCTGGAGTTTTCTGTGAAATCTTCAGTACCTGGTGATTTTTTTTCTTTTTTGTTGGTAGTAGTGGTGAGAGAGCTCTTTTATAAGTTCTCTGTTTCTTCTATGAAAATTAGTCTATTTAGATGTGTTCTAGTAAACTCATTTCGGTACATTATGTTTTCCTAGAAAGTTATCCATAAAATCCCAGTATTGAAGGTTGACAACAACTTCAAATTCTTTAAAAACCTTCTTGAAACATGTCAGCAGGCTAGCGATGGCCTGTGGACCATTTTACAACCACCAATTATTGTAAAGAATTTTGAATTTTAGACATCAAAGGGGCCATATAAATCCTGTATTGAGGGTTGTAAACAGATAACATGAGTGGCCTGTGAATTAATTGAATGAGGTGAGAACTTTGGTGAACGGGAGAGCCCATTCTCCATTAAGACAAGCAAGTCAATTTTTAAAATATTTTAATTTCATTTACTATTATTATTTAATGTGCCATAGAGAACATGCACTCACCAGAAACAGGCAGAGAGAAAGAAAATGAGAAAGCAAATCAAATCACCAGTTCTGGAACTCAAATTGTGGTCAGCTGTGTGGGAGTCCAGCACTTTAACCACCATGCCATTCGTTGGCTCTGCAAGTCAATTTTTTTTTTTTTTTGAGAGGGATTTTTGGCATAAGGTATATGTGCTCACTGGAGAGACACAGAGAGAGAGACAGAAAGTGAGAAATCATTCTTGGAGTCGGGGGCGGCCATGCTGCAGTCCCTTCTTCATTCTCCTCTTGGGATACTGGGCATGCACGCATACATGCCTGCCATGAGTTTGAAGCTGCTGAGTCCATTACTCGAACCACTGTTGACTACATGGGAGTCCAACAATGTAACCATTATGCCACCTGCTGGTCCCGGCCCTGCAAGTCAGTTTTTAACTTTTAATTTTTTACAATTATTATTATTATTAAGTTTGGTACAGATCATGTGTCCTTACTAGAGAGACACAGAGGAAAAATGAGAAAGCAACCACCAGGTCAGGTCTGTGACTCTTAATCACCACATCACCTGCTGGGCCATGAGAGAGTGATACTTGTGACAGGTCTTGTCATGTCACTATCCTCCTGCCCCAAGTCTCCCAATTAGCCAGGATTAGAGGAATGTGCCACTGTGCCTGATCTGTTTAGATTGGTCTGAGAACTGAACCTGGGTCTTCCAAGTGGTCCCAGACTCATGTAACAGTGCCCTACTGCTTATACCACTGTGGCTGGGCCTATTTTAAACAATATGTCAATCAAACACCAAATAGGTCAAATAAAGCAGTCTGCAAGCTCAGTTAGCTCCACATGGCCCATGAGTGGCTAGTTTGTGGCCTTCACTAACTGAATCTCACTTGCCTCTTTGGGCCACATGTTAGCTACCTCTCACATTTCTTGAATAGGCCTTTGCCTTTCTTCATATATCTTTCACTGCTTTATTACAATGAGATATTCTCTGAGCATTTTACTCCCTCCCATATTGTGAATTCTTCATGTGCAGGGACCATGTCTTATTCACCTTTGTATGCTTTGTGCCTATTTGGAGCTCTGTTAACATTTGTTGTATAACTTTTTATGACCAGCAAAACAGTAAGAATCTTTTCATCTTGAAAAGAAATTATTTGTAGAATTGGATCTAACTACATTTTATGCATGATAGAAATGAAGCCCAAAGTTTAGTGACTTACCTAAGATCACCTAGAAACAGGAGTAGTGCTCTATCATTCTACCCTATAATGATTTGAATGGTAAAATCAGCAACTGGAACAGAAGTGGAAATTTCTTAATTTCTAGAGCTGACATTAATGTCTGAGTCCCCAGCCTACTCTTACAACTCAATTTAAATGTCTTTACATAAATTTGAGATCCAGTCTAGTGATGTTGAGTAGATAAAATTTTAGGCTTATTGATTCATCTGGGGCCAGTTCAAAGCTTTCCAAACTTCCTGCCTCTTCTTCCTCAAGATTGGCCCAATTCCCAGAGAAGTTGTACAGCCACACCTTCAAAAGGTAAGGTTGGCCTCATCCCTCTCCTGCTTTCTCAAAGATAGTCCCAGGATTAGCGGTCTTTTTTTTTGGAGAGGTTTTTCCTATAGGAAACATGCGCTCGCCAGAAAGACAGAGAGAGACAGAGACAGAAAGTGAGAAATCACCAGGGATTTTGCAATCCCTTCTCCTCCATTCTTGGACTCGAACCACAGTCAGCTACATGGGAGTCCAGCAACATAGCCATTACACCAACTGCTGGTCTTAGGACTAGCAGTCATTTAGCTCCTTTGGTCCCAGTCTTAAACATGGGGTTAGGTGTAAGATCCCCATCTTGTGGTTGGGGATCTTAATGCTTACGGGTGCTTAGTAAGATTCTGGTTGCTTTCCACTACCCCTTTTCCCCCCGGAATCTTTCACTGTGACATAAAGAGATTCTGATAGTGAGATTTTCTCAGAACAAGGCTTCTGGCATCTGTTGGTAGGGTTTGGGGAGTGGAGAGGAACTTTTGTCTTGCCACTGAGGGAAGCTATTTGTTTTCATTGTATTGGATTCTTGGGGAGAGATTTGTTGTCCTCCCCTCAAAAGGCAAAGGGGCGAGTTGTGCCATTTGCTGACCTAGGAACCATGAGGAGATATATGGTATCTCATAGCTGGCAGCTCCTGAAGACGGAACTGGTGAGGAGGGCCGGGGTCCTGGGAGGGAGGGGGGAAGATTGAACAGACAGGTATTTTGAGGAAAGAAGAGGCAGGTGTAGCACAGGGCCTGGGATAACTGGTGGCTACCCTGTACTTTTGCAGTCGCAGCATGGTACAAAGCAAGGGATTCCAGACTGGGCTTCCGAAAGAATGAACTTTGGCCTCTGCCCTGTAGCTTACTGCCCCCTTGACACTGGGCAGGCCACAGGCCACACTCTGAGCCCCTAAGTCCTGTTATGTATCCACTATTATGAGATTCAGGCAACAAAACAGGACAGTCAGATAGAGTAATAGGTTAAGCTGATGGACTCTGGAGCAAGACTGCCAGGGTTTAAATGCCCATCACCTACCAATCACTTAACTCTAGGCAAGATACTTGGTTTGCTGTGTCTTTGTTTTCCTCTCTGTAAAGGGTGATGATAATATTAATACCTTTTAATAAATTTACTATTGAGAATGAAATAAGTTAATTCATATTAGAATAGTAAGTAGTACCCAACAATAATAAATCATACTCAATAAGTATTTATTTTATTAATAAAGTATCTTTCCTCATATTTCTTTTAGATATCTAATTTTTAGGGTAAAACTTTACAATCCCTTGCGCTTTTATTTCTTTTCACTAGTGACTAGTCCCTTGCTTGAGGTTGGTGTTGCCCTTCCTATTTATAATATATATTACTGTATATGCATATATCCATAAGCACTTTCTTTAAAACGACAGTTAATGGCATCATAGTTTACTTTTTTCCACTCAAAACTGATCCAGCTTTAGCCACACTGACCTCATAAATCTAGTGCTATGTATCCTGTGACTGTACTATAGTGTATTTGTCCCTTCATCTGCTGATGAGACTTAACTTGTTTTCACCATTCATTGTGACAACAGCATTGTGATCATCCTCATGGCTAGCTCCTTGTGCACGTATGTGAGTTTCTCTAAACAGCATGTGTAAAATGTGTACAATTCTTCTACTGTGAAGTACACATATTTTCCACCTTATAAATTTTGCCACTTTGCTCTACAACATGGTTTTACCATGATTCTAAGTTCCGCAAAGATGCATCTAAAAATGGTATCTTTTTATTACCATAATTTGCATTTCTGTTATTTCTAGTGATGTTAAGAATCTCTTCATAATTTATAGGCTTTGAGTTTTCCCTTTGAATTACTTGTTCATATCCTTTGCTCATTTTGCTGTTGGGTTATTTGTATTTTTCTTTTGATTTGTAGGATTGAAAAAATTAATTCTAGATAGTAATTCTTTGTTGATTATATGCATGGCAAATAGATTCTTCTAGTCTGCAATTTGTTTCTTCACCTTATGATGCTCTTATTAACAGACATTAATAAGTAAAAATTTTAATTTAATTTTTGCATATTTTAATTATGAAAAATTTCAAACAGATGTTGAAATATATGTACTTATGTATTTATATATAAATTAAAAGAATCACTTACTAGACTTAACAACCAACATTTTACCTTTTTGGCTTTGTGTGTTTGTATTTGCTGAATCATGAGGGAATTATCCCACATAGCCACAATAACACTAAGAAAATGAACACAAGGGGAGCGTTTGGTTCTCACAAATGTGCTACTGGTCATCTGCACTGAACAGTCTAAACCTCAGTGTCCTTGTCGTCAAAAGGTTAAATATATAACTTGAAGGGTGATTTTTGAACCCTTTTAAAGAATCAGTTGGTTAGGGTCCGGCAGGTGATGTGATAGTTAAGGTGGCCGGACTCCCACATGGCTGACAGTGGTTTGAGACCTGAACTGGCAGCTTGCTTTCTCACTTTACCTCTTCCTCTCTGTCTCAATCTGGTCAACTTAAATAAATAAATAAATAAATAAATAAATAAATAAATAAATAAATAAATAAAATAATGACAATGAATAAAATAAAATAAAATAAAATAGAATCAGTTGGTCACTATATTTAGGGAATGACTTTTGCCTTTTTAACTTAGTACTTTTCTAAAGTTGTCCGTTCTCATCTGAGAGGGCCTCTTCCCACTAAATCTTAGTGCCACCAGGTATAGTGGATCTGAATTCTTTTTTTTTTAAGCCGTGATTTCTGGTTTATAGCTGTAATCATTCTACATCTTTGTGAGGTAAATTATGTTTTTTCAAAGAATGAATACAGTGTGTAATAGTTAAATTATGGATGTACATATACTCATCTTATTCAACATTGAACATTATGTTATCCACATTTGATAATCTATTGTTATTTTTGAAGTATATATTGAATTGTCAATGCCATTCTGAATTCTAAAATATAGCTCTCCATTTTAGCTTCTTATGTTTTTATGTCATTTAAATCTTCTGAACTTTTTACTAGATCTGATTCTACCTGTTCTGTTTCTTTTTTTTATTTTTAAGAATTATTTATTTAATTTTATTTGTTATTATTTATTTTTCAATTTGACCAAAGAGAGACAAACACAGAGAGAAAGGGAAAGTGAGAAAGCAAGCCACCAGGTCCAGAACTCAGACCGTGTTTGGCCATGTGGGAGTCCAGCACCTTAACCACCATGCTACCAGCTGGCCTCTCTACTTGTTCTGCTTCTGACTGTACCTCATAGCCTGGTATCACTTGGCACTGGAAGTAACACAAACTCTTTGAGAAGAATCACCATCTCACCTTTTTTTTTTTGAAGAGGTTTTTGCTATAGGACGCGTGCGCTCGCCAGACAGACAGAGAGAGGCAGAGAGACAGAAAGCGAGAAATCACCCCCCAGGGGGCATGGTCATGCCGCAATCCCTTCTCCTCCATTCTCCTCTCGGGATCTTGGACACGCATGCACACACGCACACACGCCCGGTGTGAGTTTAAGCCACCGGGTCCCGGGACTCAAACCGGGTTGACTATGTGGGAGTCCAGCAACATAGCCATTACGCTAACTGCTGGTCCCCACCATCTCACCTTTTAAGGCTAGACTTTTTTCTTTTGTTTTGGACCGACAGGTGTAACTGTTGTGTATATCCCTTTTTATTTTTAAATTTGTCTCCTATTCCTTTTTCTGAGTTCAATAAATTAGAAATTACACACCATTCATCCAGTCACCTGTCTGGAGTTTTTGTTCACACATCTTGCCAGGTTGAGGGGGGGGGAGGATAGTAGTCTAGATAGGGTAGGTCCTTGTAACTTACACGTTGCATTATAAGGGCAGCCCCTATCTGTCTACTCTTGTATGGAGCCAGATACACATTTATAATAACTAACTGCAGAATATATATGGGGAAAATAAAGTTTTTTTTCCTTCTGAGAGAAAGAGAGAGAGGGAGAGAGAGAAAATGCCCAACAGGGTCCTGATACCAGGAGTCTGCCTTTTAGCTAGCCGTAGATCACTGACAATGTATGCCCAGTGTACCCAGGGAGGTCTCCAGATTTGAACTGGGAACCTTCCTGGCCTAATGTAGCATCACATTTTACCACTGCACCACCATCTGGCCCTAGTCTTTTGAGTATTTTTTAAT